GTTATCAAAAATAAGAAAATAAATATATATTACATTAAATAATATACTAATAATATAATAATAGTATTTTTTCGTTATCATTTTTTTTTTTTTTGATTGACTTTTTTTATTTTAAATTCCCCGATGTCTAGATTAAACATGGAATGTACAGTCACTCTGCCGGAAGTCGAACATGCCGCAATCGGCTGTCTGCATGGTTACTAAAAGAGTGACCGGTGCTAACGAATTAGTCTATTCAAGAGATTGTAGTATACAGTACCGTAATCTGCAAATGCATACAAATCTATTTGTAGATATTATTTATTGTGCAGTATGTTATACAGTGTGAAATTTCGTTTGTGTACAAGTTTGTCTGCGTGTAAAAATCCGAAAGTGCCTTAGATTCGCAACAAAGTTGCAATCGAGTGTCGTGCATTCATTAGCATATCATTAACCCTTTCTGGCCTTTGTTTTCTGAAAAAAATTCCAACTGTTACCGAAGTGAATGCTCTAATTAAAGCCGCACCAAGACTTCACGCATCTGAATTCGTCCATTGAAAAAATGAATTTTAATTAAAGCCGCGGCCTCAAAAAGGAATTTTACGGTACTTTACTGTCACCCCCATATTGGTCTGAACACCAAAACAGCAACATTGCCAGTTCAGTTGCTGACTGGTTTGCTATATGCGCGTCTCAAGATCATTACACGATTAGAACAAGTTTGGTCAAACCAAACTCAACAAGAAATGCCAAAATACTAGTGGGGGACTAATGTTGAATATAAATAGAAGATCGCGATGCAATTTCATTCAATCGTATGAATTCTATATAATAAATGGCAAAGTTATGCCAACAAAATGTATATATTGACACACTGATGCGTCTGGTTTCTGTCATAACATTCGTAAATAAGCGCATTTAGTCAAATTGCTTATCTTTGTAAAAGTAGTTGAATTAACCAGTTCTAAGCATGTAATGATCTTGAGGTGCATGTGACAAAGTAGTCAGCAGCTTAGCTTAGCTTTATTTTTGTGGGAGATGAAATTTCCTGAGTGATTTTTCTGGGGTCTTGCATATATGAATCGGAGGTGACTTTCACAAAATTTTATAAATGTATTTATATATGTATTTCACAAAATTTCATAAATGTATTACAGTATGTCGTGACATGAACAGCTGATTGCTGCTGTTATTGTTAACTCTTTGTTTTCTCAAATGATTTTCTGAATAAACTAAACTGAAAGTACCGGGGTAAAACAACACCTAATTTTCAGGATTTGAAGACAAAAATAGTAGCATTGTGCATTCAAGTAAAACTGGTTCATTGGGAAAAAAACATGATGGATAATACTTTGCTTTGCTAGTGAGTTTATTTTTTGACTCCCATGTGCGAAGCACAAAATGGGAGTCTTTGCAGTTAGTGTGTCTGTATGTGTGTCTGTATGTGTGTGTGTATG